AACATGCTAAGACTGTCTATGCAGTTTTAGCTCTCCTGACTGAAAATCAAGAGTTTTATAATGCTGTTTGTCCAGTTTCCGTTGACTTCCCAAATACTGAAACTTCACATATTTCCTCCCACCAATGATGACACCCCAATTTGTTCAAGAGGTTCAAGTCTGATTTTCAATATGGCCACCACGAGAGCCATATTAAAATGTCTTTGTATGGTCTTTACTTGGCCATTTCGTTGAAAATGTAATGACATTTTGAAATTGTTTAGTTAATAGTGGGTCTCAACACAAATCTTCCACTTTTGCAATATTTTACATTTTGACCTTGTTATAACTGTGGTCTTGTATTTTCTCAAAATAATTATTTAGCTCAGAAAACTTCCTCTCCTCTGAACTTTGGCATGTTTCTTCTTTTGATGACATCATATTTTGTTCAAATTGTTAGATTTTAGTTTTTCTTACTCAATATCTGTGGGCGAAAATATTGTTATATCAATGCTGACAGAAACTTTTGTTTAGTAGCTATCTTTGTTGACATTTGACTGTTGAACTCATATCCAGGTGAGCTACAGTGCTGTTGCACTATTTGTTTTGTTATCAAACATACAAACAAGTGTGAAGACTACTTTTTGTCAGAAAGTAATATCCAAGAAAGCTGATTATTTGATAAATGATCCCAAGAGAAGGAAGTGTATGGTTAGTTCAAGGTTTGGCTTCGGACATTGAAGACTGATTTGAAAATTGATTTTTCAACCTGTACTCAGTGGCTGCTGAATGGAATGGGTTTTTTCAACAATATTTTCAGGGGAGTTGATAAAGCAATAAAGACTTCATGTCCAGTTATTATTTAACAGTGATCTCTTTTTAAGAGTTTCTGTTATTTTATGTTTGTTTCAACTTGTCAAACCTTATAGAATACTTAATAAAACATGTTGGTTTGGATAGTTTCCAAAAGTAATCATTGTAATAGATTTTGAACTACTTTTGAAACTTCAGAATTTGGGTAATACAATTTACTGCACCAATTAAATATATTTTTAATAATATAAGTATTTTTAAAAAAAGAATATTGAACAGGTAGCTAATCACATTTATTACTCCACTTAGGAACATTGCCCCAACCATACATTTCTTGTTTGAAATTAGAAATTCTTTTTACTTCCCAACCAACCTAGATTTGGACATTCAAGGCCTCAGTAAAGCTTTCTAAACATTTTATGGTAGAACACTGGGTATCATCACTATTTTGACGTTATGATTTTGACTATTTTGATGTTATGATATACCCAGTAGTTGGAATCGTACAATAGGATCTGCTCTCAGAAGAGATGTCTTATAGATGTGGAAAGGGTTTTGTTGCTTTTTCATGCAAAGGATGACATATGAAAAGCGAATGTTATATTTTAAGGTTTGAGAAAACTTTTAAATATTGTTATGTATCATGAAACTTCTGTCGATAAAGATATGATAAGTAATGGAGCATAGTTTGACTTTTTACCCTGCTACGGCCTTTGACCTTCACATACCAGTTTATATCTGGATTATGTTAATTTTTGGGTTTATAAAGTTGATATTTTCATTGAGTATTGACAGTATACTGCAGAGACTTTACAGTGCCTATAACTTCTTATCAAAGAAGTTTGAAGCATGTTACTTATGATGTAGATAGATCTATATCGATGAGGTTAAATGTTGCCTGACATTAAGCCCAAATATTTCATGTTTCTTGAGAGACAATGTGGGGAATTAAAGAAAAAGGTGGCAAAGGGCTGTTTACATTTTGCACGTATACCTGGTTTCCCTGTGTCCTAAACATTGCTAAAAAAGTAACATATTTTGGAAATATTGTTTTCATGCCTTTTGGCTAATTTGGCCCAAATACGTAACGATACATAAAGACGTTTCCGATCAGCTTGAGACACAAAGCTAGGTTGGTGTCATAATGATTCATTGGAGCAAACCATTGTTTGATGGTTAAAGGACAAATAAAACAATATTCAATGCTAAAAAGTGCACAGAAAAACATACAGGGGGTGAAGAGGTCAATACATTGTGTACTAAATTCTCACGAGAAATGGCCATTGAATAATTGGAACTTGAGACTTTGCTTACCCTTTCTGTGAACACCTGGTGTCATCACTGATTTTCAGAGATCCAATCATATGATTTTCCGCACTATATTGCCTTTTACGCCCAATGGAATCTGTTTCGACAGATAATTTTCAGGCATTGAGGTTTTATATTTATTCACAACACCATTTTTTTAACACTTGTAAGCATTCCATCACTGATTCCTACACACATGAGCCTAATCTGGTTCATATTTTTATGCTGTTTAACTGATTACCCTACATCAGCATCTTGCTTTCCAGCCCCTTGAGGCAAAGCATTATGGGTGACATAGATAACATACCTTAGGTGGCCTGTTGCTTTGTCTCATTAGATGATAATTGAAAGAACGAGTTTCTCCTGCACGGTGCAAACGACACACAATTTCTTCATGGACCATGTATCAAGATTTATTTTGGTCATATGTCAGTGTCTGTGCATGGTTGGTTTTGTAACCTATAACAAGTAACAGGCCTTCCTTCAGGCTATAAATGAGAGATTTTAAGGATTGGGCATGTATTGATTTTACTGATGAGAAAAGACACAACTTTAACACATATTTTTTTTTTAGGATAGTGCTCAGTAGATCTTATGGCTTGCAGTTTAATGTACTGTGTGTAAATTGGACTAAGACATGTTTGATTCTGGATTTTCTGGCCGCTGGTAAAAAAGTCATTGAGATATGTATTTCACTGACTAAAACGTTGCTGAACATGAGATGGAATTTTCAAGTAGAGACATAGTGGTCATCTGTATGTATGTATAAATAATAATAATATAATAAATAATAATCTGAAATACCCCGGTAGTGTCCTGGTCTCTATTATTTTATGGGTTTTTTTTAAGTCAAACCTTTTAGAATACTAAACTTGAATATGTTGGTTTGATTAGGCTCATTTGTAATGTAATGGAATGGAACACAAAGTATTTCTGAATTTGGTTAATACAAGTTTCTGTACATTGAAATATATTAAAATATTTGATAATAGTAGAGACCATAGTGGTCTTCTGTATGTATAAACAAGAAAACAGCGTTATCACTATCCCCCGCCATGGGACACAGTAGAATTTTATAGGCAGATAGGCACTAGGGTTGCTTTGTGTCATCCAAATCAATGATTAAATGTGAATTTAATACAGACAAAAAGGCCCCTTCAATGGAAAAATAGTTTAAACCACAAATCCTCAAACTCTTGATAAGTGGTTCTGTTATAAGCTGACTTCAGAAGTTTTTGAGAAAACTAGTTCCCATTGCACTTTGTACTTTGTAAAATAACATGGACCAAGGGCTGTAACTGTGTATGCTCAAAATCTAAATACATGTAGCAAGGGAAGTAACTCTGGGGAGAAATAATTTATGAGACCAATTTTCAATCACAGTTTTGTCAAGTATCTCATAGATGAGCATTCAAAGATTCATTCATGTAATGTCAGTAGTTTGTGAGTTTCTGTCTGCACTGTCGTAAGTTGAAAAGCATGGAGCAAGGGCAGTAACTGTGTAAAAAAATATTTTATGACACCAATTTTCAAACTCAGTCTTGACAAGTATCTCTTAGAGAGAATGTCCTGCTTTGTACTATTCCTCAAGTGTGTCTTTACATTATTATCCTCCGCCACTATGTGGAAGGGGGATATAGGAATGGGTGCCGTCCGTCCGTCCGTCAGTCACATTTCGTTTACGGAGCAGAACACAAAAAAACATGGGAGAAACCATAACAAACTTGGCACATAGATAGGTCTAGTGGTGAACTGGTGCCTTTTGATAGTTTAGTATTTTTAAAAAAATAATTTTTCGAGGTTCCCTGGCAAGGACTTGGACTTAGACTGAAAATGGAGGTAGTTCTCGTTTCCAGAGCAGATCTTGAAAACCGTGCAATATTTGTTAACCAAACTTGGCGCATAAATTGTAGTAAACAAAAAATCATTGGATGAGATGACTAGATTGCGGAATGAAAGACTGTTCACCTGGACACACCCTGTAGAGGACAGTCATGGTGATGGACTCAAGGTTGCTCACTTGAATGTTCGATCCCTCAATGCTCATTTCAAAGATGTGAAGAAGGATAAGTTTGTTGGTGTGTCAACTCATTCACTCTCCAACTCACTGTCTTGGAGCTACATTGGACTTGTTGTTTACTGTTCATGTCAGTGCTGTAGCATTCCAGACTCCAGTCTACTACTCAGGTCATCAGATGATTGGTGCTGTACTTCTCAGTACACCTCATGGTGACCCCTGCTCTTAATGATCTCTAAGTAAAGTGAGAACTCCCTTACTTCTCTTATTATTCTTAAAGTAATAACACAACTCATTACTAATAGTTACGTATTCTATCATAAACTGCAGATGGCAAAACAACACCAGTAATAACTTTTTTAATGCTGCAATTACCGGTAGGCCAATTACAAAATGGTCCAGTGAAGATAGTTCACAGGAGCTATTGCAGTGCACACAACCGGACATGTCATATTGGCGGGGGATATGAGTATTTCATGCTTGTTCTGTCTGTAATCAAGTCGAGATACATAGAATTATCAGGGACACAGATGATGCAGTGATCCAAGGCACGTACCTTGCTGTGCAGAGTTGTATCCCTTAGCAGTAACACGGGCTGATTTACAAATTTATTGAAATTCAGAATTTGCATTTCTAATGGAAAATTTTCAAAAGTTTTGTAAAACGTTAATTAATAGACATGAAGAATGTTTGGTTTTTTTCCTGTTTCTCGGGACTATTACAGGTTACGCTGGGTCTGGCCAACATTGTTGTCAAAGCAACTAACATGGAAATCATTTGGTCATATTGGCTACTCAGCTTGAAGAGATATTTGACGGGTGGCCATCTTAGACAAAGAAAGTTGAGTGAATGTGGTGACTGACGGTCTCCCTCTGTCTTTCAGATGATCAGTGTGGTGAGGAGAACAGCACCTGCAAGATATACTACAGCTGTGCGAACATCAAGATAAGGTGAGGACACTGGTTGTATGTAGTGATGTCACTTTGTTGTGGTATTGTCGCGTATTGTGTCTTATTGTCATGTTCTACGCCTAGATGAACAACCCAGTGTTGTGATTATGATACGTGGAAAGTTCAAAATACATTTCCATCCTCTTCTGAAACTACAAGGAGCACGTGAGGCCCAGTCGTCTAAGGTGCCGCGATTCGCTATGCAGAGTTGCGTACCTTGATTGTGGGTTCGAATCCTGGTTCACCCCGAATATGTTTCTAGGTTTGTCAGCACCATACCCGTGCTCGTGGGTTTCACCGAGTTGGTAAACGTCTGAGACCAGTGCATCACTTCGGGCTTTCCTCCCACTAGAAGCTGACACGCTGCGATATAACTGGAATACTGTTAAAAGCGGCGTTAAGCCCAACTCACTCACTCTGAAACTACAAGCCCCAAAGCAGAATCTTTGCATGATCATCTCAGAAATAACAAGTCTTTGAAAGGCATTTAGAAGTGATACACATAAAGAAGAGAATTTATGAATGTGAACTTCTTTATCATAGGAAATGCAACGTTTTGGAGTATATGCTTACTTCTCCATCAGATGACGTGTTCCTCATAATAAAGAAGTTGATATCCATAAATTTTCTTCCTTATCTCAGAAATAGTTCCTTGAAAATTGCTGAGAGAATTCTGTCGTCACTCTCCAGTGCAATGATGACTTAGCATTACACCACTGCCACAGCCTTTTTTGCATGTCATGTGACCAGACGTTTCGCTTGTTTGTAACAAACACGTTTATTCTGAAATCAGAACAGACTGGCCAAATGCAAGTCTTTCAGTGTGTTTTATGTATTGGTTTCAATAAGTATATAGATGTGCTACTACAACTGCGACAGTGAGAAACATGACAATATATCTTTATACATCAAATTGAACATATCGCCAGCTCTCCGCAGGGCTTCAATGACAGCACATGGAGCTGTACAACAAATTAAACAAAGGATTACTACGAAAAAGGAAATATGAAACAGATGAAAAACATATGCAATGTCATAAATGGACTGTGTAGTATGTGATGAATCGCCACTGTTGCTGGCCAATTGCACAGGTACTAGGCTGGCCACAAGGAACTCTGGATAGAAGAGTTTTCTGTCACCTTTGTGTTTAGCTCACCTGAACATTGAAGGTGAAATATTCATGCTGTTTCTTGTATCAAAACATTTGACTGGTTATGTTTGCATACTCTTAATTTTTTTGCATCATTTTTGTAATATTTGGCCATATTTGCATGTAACATGATGAAATATTACATGCACTAGCTTTGTGGTATGTGCTATGAAATTTCAGTTTGGGGTATACTTGGCTTTTTTACCCTTTCCAAGCACCTACAAAATCTAGTTGTACTGTAGGGGCACAGGTGGCCAAGTCATAGCCCCAACTCGGACCACCTCCGTGGTCTAGTGGTAGAGCGTCCGCCCAAAGAGCGGAAGGTCCGGGGTTCGATTCCCGGCCGCGTCATACCAAAAGACGTTAAAAGATGGTACTTGTTGTTACCCTGTCTGGCGCTCGGCATAAGGGGCTAAAACAGTAAGGGGCTAAAACAAGGACTGGTGTCTGAGTGGGATATTCATGTTAAACTGCGGCATGGTATCTCAGTGAGCTAGCACTATAAATCAGCATCAGTCCGGACTAGTACAAGCAGCCACACAAACACACACACGTACATGCATGTCGCTATATAAGTGCAATAATCTTGGACGCGATGTTAAACCCCTTTTCACCTCACCTTACCATAAACCCAACTCACTCACACACCAGTTGTATTGCATTTTGAACGTCTCTTTATTATCACATTAGGGACCTGTCATTTTTTTACAGTAAGGGTCAGAGGTTTTTGATGCACCAATGACCCTCCTCTAATAATGCTTGTCAAATTGTTTGGATCACCCTCCCTGAAATAACGTAATGTAAAAGCACTTTATCATGTTTATGTTTTATTATGCAATGTTATTTTCAAGACCCTCCCAAATTTGTGTATTATTTTGACCCTCCTGACCCCATAATAAATGACCGGCCCCTTATGTTTAGTTGTATGTTTTCATATTTGTTACAACTTTGACACTTGACTTTCATGTACTGCTTGGTCTGTCATGTCATGGCAGCCATGTTGAAAATGTCATGTTGGCCTTCTTCTTGTGCAATCTTAAGATGTTCAGGGAAATTTGTCAAAAAAGAAGCAAATGTCATCTGAAGTTAACTGTGAAATGTGGACTTCTTCATTGACAACATCTATGTGAAATTTGGGGATTAGACTTTAAGGCAATAAGAAGGCATTGCCATGGGCACTTAAATTGTGCTCCCTTCCTTGCTGATCTGTTTCTTTTGACAAAATCTGAACACAGGAATTTGGCCAAGTATATTAGCTTCTTATATTTTGATGATCTGATGCTGTGTAATATTGGTGAAATAACCATATCCCTTCCACTGTTATAACCACCCGAACTAGAAATAAAAGAGACCAGTTTCATATTTAGATCTATGCATAAAATTGACTTCAACTTCCAACTTTTCCCTTAAGTCAAGCAAAATTCCAGCAGCGCCAGCTTTTGGTTTCTACATTTCACAACTTTTGAGGTATAATCAAGCATGCTGGGAAGGTTTCAAAGAACATAATGCAACAGCATTCAAATCCTCAGTAAAGCTTTCATGATGTTTTAGGGTAGACATGTGGAGGACATTTCCAACTTCGGTGCATCAGTGACCAACATTATATCTGATGCAGCTCCATATTTTGACTTTTACCATATGTTCCCATGTTTCTTCAGGTGAACAAGTGTCTTGCCTTTGCATGTATTTGTGAAGGGTGCCACTTGTGGGGCAGGATACGCTGACCTTTTGGCGAAAACCTGGTATCATAACTTTCTGATAGTGATTCATACACATGCCTTTGATATTGTTGGAATCGTACAATGGACTCTACTTTTAGCTAAAAATTTTCATGAATGTGGAAAAGATTTTGATTTAGGTTTAGAGTATGAATTCATTTGTGTTCTTTACACTTCAGACCAACTCCAGTGGGCCAGAGTCGTGATTTGTCTTCTTGTAGCAACTACCTGGACAACCTGTTAGGCCCATGGCCATACACTCCCCAGCAGATCTTCAAGGTGAGTGGTCGTAGTCAGTTTACACTGATTTGCTTTGTAGTCAGTACTTACTTTGGTGTAACAAGAGGTAAGTGGTTAAAGTGATATCTTGTCCTGCCACAGCCTTTGGTTCAATTCCTCAGATGGGTACAATGTATGAATCCTATCTCTCTTGTCCCATGCTTGAATATTGCTTATAGAAAATTGTAAAGCCATTCTCACTGTGATGGGAAAAGTGGTTGCATACAAAATCAGATGAGATCTCCCCAGCAGGTTCCCATCAATCTAGTATCCACATCCGCAACCAGTTCCCAATCTGGATCCCCATGGGATGGGCACCTCATGTTTGACGTAAGAGTAAGTTATAATAAGAATGGAACGACATGACTGATCGTGTATTCTTGTGCACCTATGCTGTATGCAATTTCTCATGCAAGCAGCCATTTGTTTGCATTTCGAGGATTTGTCGTAATGGAGTTGGAATATTGCCAACTGGCATATAAAACAATATTTCCGGTTACTTTTGTCACCATTACTTTTAGCTGACTTTGACATCGTCTATCTCATATAAACTTTCTACCTTTCATTCTTCTTCACCATTTTCACTACACCATCTGTGGTCATTGAGCTGCTGCCTTGCCCATAAGCTATTGGCTATCATCCAGTAATGATTTAGTGCTGATCCATCATCAACAATATGGTTGGCTTGGCAGCAAAACTTGTGTCATAAACTTGATTACATCTCTAAGATTATATAATTGACAATTTTTCTGTTCCTGTCTATCAATGCGGTGGGGTAGCCTAGTGATTAATGCGTTCACTCGTCACACCAAAGACCCGGGTTCGATTCCCTACATGGGTACTATGTGTGAAGCCCATTTCTGGTATCCCCTGCCGTCAATTACTCACTCCTGTCCACCAGTATTGCCTGCCTATGCTGGAATCCTTTTTCTTTTTGTCATTTCTACTGAAACAAGTGTACAAATTCTGAAATGTCTCACAGATTTCCAAACCTATTTTGAACATGGCTACTATGGCAACCATATTGAAAATGTATCTTTGTCCCCTGATTGAGGCCCCGTGAAGATTCTGGAGTAGAATAGGTCTTCAGCAACCCATGCTTGCCATAAAAGGTGACTATGCTTGTTGTAAAAGGCGACTAACGTGATCGGGTCCAGTCTCGATTATTTACTGACCGCCGTCATATAGCTGGAATATTGCTGAGTGTGGTGTTAAACAAAAAAAACAACAACCGACCAACCAATGATTGAGACTAATATTGATGTAATTAGATGTGTAGGTTACCATATAAGTAGATCTGTTGTGCAAGAATGATGTCAGTTTTTTTGTGTGCGTAATTTGATTTAAGACATGCTGTAACGTTTATGACCATAATTTCACATAATTTGATCTTTGTGCTAGGTGAGCTACAGAGCCTATTCATTTTACATTATTGGCATATGCATGTGTGAACAGACAATGTTTCTTTTTTAACATTAACATGATACATGTGTTGTTTCGAGAACAGTACACGGGGCTCAAATAATTCTTAACCCAACTTGTCCTGCAGGGCAAGGTGATGTTATTTTGTACTCGTCCTGCAATATTTTCACTTTTCAAAAAGCAAAATGTTCCTGTTATTACCATTTTCTGTTGTTAAAAATGAAATTTGAAAAGAGGATATTTACGACTGAGAGTGCAAAATAATTCACAATCACTGGCATCTACGTTCATCTCTGCCCATTCAAACTCACTCAACCATGCATGTTGCACAGTTCGTTTTCATATTTTACAGTCGTACTGTTTTTAAAAAAAAACAACTTTTTGATTGGCCTTTTTGATAATCAAATCATGTTTTCTCTCGTCAACCACCACCATCCCTGATTACAAACGTCTGCACATCAGCCATTTCCCTCACAAAATCAGTCATGTTTGCCTTAACCATTTGAACAAAAATCATAAATAATATTACCTCCCTCTAAGAACTAGTTTCAAGACCCGTTGCACAAACACACTTTCTGTTCATGTTGTGATATTATCGACATGTATTTCATTATTATTACGAAGAATGTATGAAATATGAAAACCTGTTTTAGGTTCAAAATTATCCTGCATATTTTATTTAAAATGATTAAAGATGAATTGAGACAATTGAAATATGTACTCGCCTGGTAGGACAAGCGTTTCTTCAGTTCTCTCTCACCCTGCACATTCTGCCACGCATCAAAACTAATGGACGAGTGGATTTTTCAAATCCTGAATATAGCTTATTCATGGCCATCCCATGTCCCATGCACTGTTTAAAAATTTATTTACCACTAGTTTAATTTTGCCAAATGCATTACAATTAATTGGGTTTCTTTCAAATCGTAGAAAAGAACCTGTGTCATCTCGCTCTGTTTATTTTGATTCTTCAATAAGTTATTCTCATATCAGACAGCTTTCAAACAAATTATTTAAGAAAAAATATGTACAAAGACTTCTGTACACATCTTAGTCCTTACTTACTGATAGTCATAAGTCCTACAAGGTGTTTTCTACAAACGCTGGCTTGTTTTCAATAAAAATCTATAAATTTGTATATAAACCATGATGAAAATTATCCCCTGATGCATGTTCAGTAATGGACACTTCCTGTTTCAAAGGAAGTGACATAAATTCTGGACAACCTTTGTGCCCTACACACTGAAATATGGGTGACATTTCCACCCTCTGAATGAAACAGTCGGTTTGATGTCAACATCACCAGAGAAGCTAATCATTCTAGGAAAGTAACGTACTTCCTTCTTGATCAAAGTCAGTAGGGAATTCCAAATAAATCATATTGTCAAATGTAGGTTTCAAAGTGTAGGCAAGGGTAGACCGTATTGCTAGTTGTAAGAGGCGACTAAATTGGGAATCCAGGTTAGATCTGGTCACATGCAACATGTGCTGGTCCTTAGAGGAAACTTATTGGATTGGAGAGTCAGGCGCGGTGGAAAACAAGTTAGAATTCAAGTAAGAGTTTGTTGCAATTTTTAGGGACAACATGAAGCTCAAAATGTTGAGTGTGTTTTAATTTTTCACAATGATCATTGTGATATCATGAAAGTTGTGTGTTTGTTCTTGAAGGGTGTCCACTTACTGTTTGCTTATTAAGTAGCCAAACATTCTCAGTACTTCTCATATAGTTTACTGAAGTACAATATTCATTGTTTAAATGCAGTTAACCTTTTACTCAAATGTCAAGGTCACATTAAGGTCATTCAGCGAGTAAATAGGGAAACCTCATATTTGTGACACCACCTAAGTTCGCAACTATAAATCTTCTTGCATGTGATGTGCAAACCTTGGCAAAAGTCAATGTCACACCTTTCATCAAAACCCTTGTGACCATGCCAACTTGAATATGGCAGGTCATGCCTAGAAGGCTGGAATTGAGTATAAGTGTCTTGCTAAGGTAACTGGAGCCATGGGACCTTCTGTTATAGAGTTTTACAGAATAAAAAAGGAAATGTGTGTTCACAAAGGAGACACTATGCCATTAACTCAGTAGAGCATATTATTTACCGGTTTTAGTAGCTAAACGCAATATCAAAGTTCAATAGATACATATGGTGATTTCCAAATGGTTCATGAAACATGTTTCAGTAAAGGTTGGTGGTGATGTCTTCGATCAGTTTTTTCATTTAATCTTTTAAATGGATTTGAATAGAAATCTGGCCCATTTACGTCAATGGGGGTAATCTCGGAGGGATCCAATTGGATCCAAGTGGATCTCAATTACAGCTTCCCTATTGAAATAGGTGCAAAAAAAGTGTGACTAACGGGATCGGGTGGTCAGACATGCTGACTTGGTTGATTGCATAGATGGTTGGTCATAATGTCAATCACTGGGTTGTCTGGTCAAGACTTGATTATTTACAGACCGCCGTCATATAGCTGGAATATTGCTTCATGGGGCGTTAAATAACAATGAAACCAACAAATAATTTAAACCATATTAGAATCTTGAAAGATGATGTATGAGCGCAGAGAGAAACCTGCAGCATCGCAGAGTGTGATGCTGAATTACACTCGTTCTGTGATCTATTAGTGTAGCGTGGAACTATTGATTGAGGTCAAACAGTTCAGTACATAATCACAAGTGTTAAATAATCAGGGAAGGCTTCTATGCATGTGGATTTATTCACCAAAAGTCAAGCATATAATAAAAAAGAATACCAGGATATAATGAAATAAGATATTCATGAAATGATATTAGTTTTAGTAGGCAGCGAGCAGAAAATGTTTTTGGTAATTCAATAGAATTTGAACATCTGCATTATTGATTCTTGTGATGAAAGATCTATTTGATGACTATGTTTTATTTTCAGAATGAAACAATTATTGTGACGATTTGTGATGAAATTATCGTCTAGGAGACAAGGATAATTATGCGATGTTGCTCCCTCTGAAGTGAGCATGTTGGTAACCCTGAACAGGCAGCTGTTGATTTATTGGGTGAAAAAAGATACTTCGCATCCTCAGAATGAATCTTTAAACTTGTAAGGCATTAAATCAATATATCATTTAAAGTGGTGTGATTTTGTAGTCCAGACATTTTTGCTCTCAGCATTTTGACCAAATATTGTCCCTCAGCTGCTCTAGAAGGTTGGACAAATTTATTTTATTTCAAGTCCCCAGGACTCTGAGTTAATAAGGTTTTACAGTATTCCAAGATGTCCTTCAAACCTCGATGTCAAACACATAAATATACCTGCAGCCATTCATTGTCTTCCAAAAAGATTGATTAAATTATAAAAATTTAATTTGCCTCATTGTTAGTGGTAATGCCAATGGGAACCTGACCTCAGATTGGATTAGAGCTGCTTTGAATCTGTAATGTTATTGAATTTAAAAAGAGTATGTGTTGTTTTTGGAGTTAAATGGAAGGAATCTGAATTATGTTCAAGCTGTGATAGTTGTCCTCACTCTCTTCAGACCTCACAGATTCTCTGTGTGCTGAGGTGACATATTTCTTCAAGGTCCTTTACACACTG